CGCCCCGTCCCACCCTGGGCTTCTCTCGCACTCCTCACCCTGCCTCGAGGAAAGATGAACGAATAGGTTGTCGCTCCAAACCCCAACCTGGCTATAGCGCTGCGCAGGGGTGCCTGGAGGCAAGGTGGAGGCTGGAGGCTCAGTCACCGGTCACCGCGCCAAGACAAGCTCTCCTTTTTTCCCCCAACATTTTATTTGATTTGCCGGATCGCTGCCCACTCCACGCAAACTCCCTTCGCTCCGGCAATCCGCCGCCAAAAACTATTTCTGATGGTTGTGCAACAGACCGCGGCGACGCGCAGTTTGGCTCACCGCAGCGACCACAAGTAGTGGTGGTGATCAGGCAAGCAGTGGCGGCTCGGCACACACAGGCGCAACCGTGTCCGTCCACACGGGGGTCTATAGCACGGGCAGCTCGGCGGCGGCTGTCAGGCCAGGAGGAGGCGGTGGTGAGAGTACGTGATTAGGAGGGAGTGTGGAGGGTTTGTCGTTACGCTGTTGATGGCGGTGGTGAGGAGCGGGCCGGGAGGGGGGGGGAGGAACAAATCGCAAAGAAGGCGATTAATACGGACACGGGTCAGCGCGCCCGCCGCACAACGGCTTCCGCGCAACGAGCCATGATGGCATGGTGACTTATAGTCAATGTTTTATCAGTAAAAGGAAATTTCTATCGTCTCCTACTGCTCGGTTCCTCGAATTGTGGTTTCATCATGCATGATGTGTTCTCTTGTCTGTTTCAGAACGCTATCGTCGCCGCCCAGGATTATGATGGTAAGTCTGCACAGCTCCATTGAAAAACTTCGAATAAAGCATTCCGGTAAAGCTGAAATGCAGAAGAATGCGGGGAAGAAAAAAACGGAAATCGCTATGATTTAACATGTTGACTTCCGTTTTCTTCTTCCCCGCATTCTTCTGCATTTCAGCTTTACCGGAATGCTTTATTGCATTGACACCATCCACTAAATCATTTTCCCACCCTCCCTATTTGGGATAACGCACCCCTCACGCACCCTTTGCCATAATTTTTTTCCAGTCTCGGACATCCGGTGCACGTTTGCCACTACCGGCGGCTCTCGAGACTCGATCTCTGCAAAACTGCGCAAACCGGAGGGCTTCCGGGGCTCCCCGCTGTTCGCGGACGACCGCGCCGTGGACCCGGTGAGCGACAAGGAGTGCCAGATCCGGCCCGACCCCGCCGACACCACCAAGCTGATGTACACCCTGCTCGTCTCGGACTTTTCGCGGTGCGGCGTCCTCCGGAGAAACGTGAGTGGCGATGGTCCCATTACGACAACCACAGCAAAATAGACGATGCTATTTAAAATCGGAGGGGAAGAAAAGAAACTCGGTGACTGCATCGGCCCGATCTCTGTCTGTCGCAGGGCTTTGTGCACGTCCGCGTGTGGTTCCCCCAGTTCCCCGGCGTGGTCATGATGTCCGACCAGGAGCTCATCATCATGTGCAAGCCCCCGGAGCCCACCATCATCGAAAACAAGGCAGCTGGCTTCGCAGGCAGCTTGTGAGTACATGTAAACGAGTCTATTTCGGCTCGCACCTTATCGTTGATGTTGACGCTGCCCGTCTCTTCCCTGTCCCTCGCAGTCCCCACGGCGCGCGGGTGTCCGGCGTGGTGGAGGAGACTCCCGGCCGCCTGGAGTACGAGGTGGCGCTCTACAAGGAGGCGCCCACCCGGGTCGGCGCCCACGGGCAGCTGCCGCCCGGGCTGCCCGGCGAGCTCCCCGTCGACCAGGCCGTGCCCATCGGCACCAAGCTGCAACTGCGCGCCCGCATCAACCCGGACTCGGCGTGGAAGTTCCTCAAGCTGATGGAGGTGACCGTGTCGCCGGACCCGGACGACGCCCACATGCTGGGCAGCGTCGCCCTCGTCTCGGACGGGTGAGTGCGACCGCGGCGCGGACCGCGAGCGAAGGGGTTGCCATTAGGGCTGTGCGATATCACGATATTTCGATATCGAGAGCTCTATCTTCTCCCGATATCGATATCGAAATATCGAGGTTGCTCGACATCGACATTACGATATATCGACTATTTTCAAACATATTGTTTCTCAATATGGTTCGATATTGCGAAATCACTCGATATTATCGAGACTCGATGCATCGAGTCGATGTTCAATACTTTCACCGATATCTTATCGCGATGTCGGAATCTGGATATCGCACAGCCCTAGTTGCCATATGCGGCATCCTTGAGCTGTGTACTGATCGTTCCCTCGCAGCTGCCGGAACAGGGACTTCGCGTCCATCATCCCGCACCAGCCGGCGCGCTACCGCGACCGCCACAACGAGGTGTTCCTGGACTTTGAGGCGTTCCTGCTCAGCACCATGAGGGAGCGGAGCACGCTGTGGATCCACTCGCAGATCAAGGCCTGCATGGACGCGGCGGACTGCCAGGCGGTAAGCGGGGGGACGGCGGTGGAGACGGAGGTGCACCGCTGTGCCTCGTGTGGGACCATGTGGGACTATAGCCTGTTTATCTCCGCCTCCAGGATTATTGCCTCGACCTATTCGAGCCCGCCGGGCACGGCCGGAGACGTCGGCAGGCGTCGGCGGACGGCTTCAACCCCATCAACGGCACGACGGTGCTGCTCGGGCACAGGGGCGGCCGCATCGGGCCGGCGGGGGCCCACCGCCAAGCCCGGGGCAGGGGGCTGCGGTCCGCGCAGCAGCTGCAGCCCGGGCACGAGCCACCGCCGCAGGCCATGGCGCTCACGCAGCGCTTCCCCAACAACGGCAGCCACAACGGCCTCAACGGAGGGATCCAGCAGTTCGCCAAGTTCGACGAGAACATCGAGTACAGCGTGCTGATGCCCGGAGGTGAGTGCAGGGGGAAGGGCGCGGTCTCAGTTCGCTCGCGCTCGAGTTTGAGTTTCGTTCACCAACCGTTGATGTCCGCCTTGTCCGCAGAGCTCTACTCGCGGGGCGCCGTGCTCGAGTCCTCGTGCGGCACCTTCCTGCTCATCGCCGCCGTGCTGGGCTGCCTGCTGCTGTGCGCCGCCTGCCTCATGTGCTACCTGGCCGCGCGCCTGCACTCGGCCCTCAGCAGCCAGCTGCACGCCAAGTCCCTCGACATGCTGGTGCGCGAGCACAGCCGCCGCTTCCACCACCACCTACACGGCAGCGCGTCCGCGTCCACGTCGGGCTCCGAGGCCAGCGGCTACACGGGCCGCTCCACCGTACACTGATCCTCTCCGCCGTCAAGGAGTACTCCATCCCGGCAGCCGGCGGCACCACCGGTACGGAGTGGAGGAGTGTGGTGGAAAAAGAAAGGCAAGCTGAACTATGTGAAAGTTCATGGTTTTCGGCTGTATAGTGTAGTTTTCGGTGCTCCGTCCTTGATTTTGTATCTACGCCACGCTCCTCCATTCAAGGCAAGTCCTCCAGCCACCTGATTGAAAGGGGTAAGGGAGAAGGCAGAAAGGAGTGCGAGGAAAGAAACAGCCGGGTGCCGTCGTATCGTAACCGGGGTCGGGGTGTCGATTTTCATAGAGAGAAATGTGACGGTCGAAAGGGTGCCATTTCAACGAGCCTCGTCGAAAAGGCACCCGGTGATTGACTACCGGCTCAATCCCTCAAAATCGACTGTTTTTCGTTACCAGAAGGAGGGTGGAAAGGCAGATCCGATAATCCGATATTGATCTTGGTCCGAACACAGAAGCGGCTACCAACTTGATATCGGATTTTCCGTATCATTTGCAGATTGGAAACGACAGAAATATTCTTTTAGTTTTAGATGCGTTTATTGCTGTGCAATTGAAACCTGACCAGAACGGCTTTGCTGTCCTGTCATAGTAAAATAAATATCAGACCAGACGGGATGATATGCTATTGACGTGATCTACTTGCAAACCATACTAAGACAATGTACAAAGTATTATTTTGTAATTTGTTGTAGGTTACAGATTAATGTGATTTGCCTTGTAAGAGACATTTCCCAATTATTTATTAATC